TTTCGTTTCTGTTTTTCTTTCTCTTTTCTCTGCATCTTTGTTCTCTTCTCTTCGCATTCATCCTTATTATGTAGTTACTTGTGTGCACTCTCGTGCGCTTCTTTTCTTTCTCGCTCGCATCTTCGCTTGCTCCCTATAATTGTAAGTTATTCTCCAGAATGTGTCAAGTGTCGACCAAGAACGGATCAACGTTCGAGAATGAGGAATACAATCCAAGATTAGATTATTTCTTTTGTGCGAATGTGATTCTGTGTGATTCTTGGTGATCCATTGATCAGCAATTCATCGACACTTGCACTTTGCATTTATCTCTTCGTACTATATCGTATCGTTATCGCGATCATATTTATGGTTGTTATCCATCGAGGTTAATGGTTATTTGATGCATTGCAGTCCTTACACCTTACAAATTATGGTTTACGTTACAGAGAGTATCTTACATGCTAAGTTTCTCTTTCCAAAAATTAGGAAATCCGCCGTTCTTTCTTTCTTTCTTTCTTGTCCCTTGTTGTAGGGTTGTCGTCAAATACGTTCAGTTTCATCGATCAAATTCATCTATCAAAATTGAACGATGTCTTTGTGAGGAAAAGACGCTTCTCATTATCCGCTTTATTTCTCAAGAGAGAATATGAAAGAAGCAATTGTCCTCGACAAGCAGTAGCAGACTTAATGCCGGTTACCCTAATTTGCAATCACGAAGTAAAAGCAACGAAACCTCTGTCACATCTATCGCATTTCCACTCTTTTTTTATTTTGCAACTTGGTTTTTATTATAAGAGATTGTTTAATTATTTTGACACCGAAAAATCGCGTCAGTCTTTTACTCTGATACAATAAAAATAAATCCTCTCTCGTCGTTTCTTCCATCATACTTTTTTCATATTTGTTCCCGGTTCGGACGAAGCTTCGTCGTAACTTAATTAAAAGCGATATATTTTTACTCGTAAAAGAGCGCGATTTATAAATGTTTTCGCTGATCAATTCTGGCAAACTTTGTACTTTAATAATTATTTTATATAAGTAAGGTTGTGATTGTAACGTCGCGTCGCGAAAAACTGGAGATAAAAAGAATAGCAAATAAAGTAATAGTAATTTTACTAAAAAGATACGCAAACGAAATTTTTAGTCCGATATGTCCGAATATCTCTCTCTCATCGAATGATATTATCTATCTTGTTAAAATATATCTCTGTTTTATCTTAAATGGGATTATATATCGTTACGATATATTTAGTTATGAGTTAAGAAATGTGAAAAAGTTAAAACGCACAAAAATATATAAGTTCACCAATTCCCCGCTTTTCTCCTTCATGATTGCAGATCGAATGTACCAGACTTTCATAACATTAGATTTATAATAAAATCACATAAAAATCGTTAGATGATTTAAGGCATGTCTAAAGAAAAATTTACAAAATCATAATATCTCATGTTCATTTCTACCTGTAGATTAACATTAACTCTCAGTTTAACATTTAATTCACTTTTCGTCTTCTTCTAGTTCTAAGAATTAAAAAAAGCTAAAGAGTAAATTAAACTAATGGAGATTAAGATTAAAATTAATCTACATTGGTAGAAATGAACCTCAGTGATGAAGTTCAAGTAAAAATGCCGTTCTCTCATCAGAATTTGGAATTTGTCATTAAAATCGTGTGTTATGTTAATGAGAAACGCTGTGAAGGAATCGAGTTCACACTACCGTATTAATACATGAAGTAAAAAAAAAGCTCGTGTCTCAAATTCGTAATTCACTTAAAAGGATTCGCACTTCCGCTTGCACATCTTCTTAGATATATTTACGTATGTAACTGCATTTAAAAAAATTCGCCGATAACTATAACGACTTAGGATACGACATTGAAATTGAAGGGTATTATCGAACACTATGTAAACGTGGCCCTCGTGCGCTTCGTCGTTTTCTTAACACAGGCTTGCGATGATGTTTCTCTGGGCATATTAATCAAACGCAAGGCAGCTTCTGTTTTTCAGAAAATTAGCTTTGTAACAGTTATAATATTCTTTTATATTAGGTGTAATAAAAAGAAATCCATTATTTTTCTATTAAATTTCATGCAAAAATAGTGGATTTTTTTTTATTACACCTAATATATGATTGGTATCTTAGTGGATCGAAATAAATCATATTAAAGAATCTTACAACAAAACGGCTTTTTCTGCAGAACGCAATCATTAACAATCTTTGTAATCTTTACAACAAAACGCAAATATTACAACTGAATTTTTACTCAATATTTATTCGTGACAAAATAGGAAGGAAATTTTCTCGCGAATTCCACTTGTAGACGTGAAATGTCGAATATTATGAAAACGCATTTATATGGTTGCACCCATGATCTTAAATTGCATAGAGAAAAACGCGCAAGAGAAAGGACTCCGAGTGGTTCTCACGTAATCGTTCACGCACATGCTAATCACGCAATTTTACAAAATGAAACATTAAAAACAAACACCCTGAAGAACCCATCCGGCGCGATTTTTATTTCGCGTCATTTTAAAAGCCCTGACGGGAGAAACAGATACACTCACACTCCGAAATGATTCCTAACGATTCCTAATTATACGCAAATCTGTATCCTTTTAATCATATTTATCGAATAGATGGACTATATCGCTCGATTTTCTGCAATTAGTGATCGCAATTAGTGATCTATCTGATAATGAATGAACGCGGATAGATGAATGCTCGAAAGAATCAATATCTAGGCGATTTCTCTCGCGTGAACTTATTATTGAATATTGCGGAATGTTATCGGATCATATTATTATGATAAATTTTCTGGTGAAAGTTTAAGTTAATAGACGCGATATTGAAAGCCAACATAGCTTATTACAGCATAAAACTGCAACTGTATGTGTGTGTGTGTGTGTGTGTGTGTGTGTGTGTGTGTATGTGTGTAAAAAGTATATTTTTATTTCATTTTCTATCTAAACGATCTATCCAATGACCAATCAAATGGGGGCAGATAATGCTTGTGCTTGAAAGAATTTTTTTATTTCTGCAAAATTATTTCTCGAATAGACTTCTCTACTGCAGAATATTAGTGGACGTTACGTTATGACAAAAAGTTTAAATAAAGATGTTACATCGAAAAGTAACACAATCATTACAACAGAAAAAATGTAATCAAATAACTCGATATAGGATAAAGAAAAAATTTTGAAATTCATCCCTGATTTAAATATAATGATATCACTATAATTCGACGAAATTCGTCTTTCCACGTATTCTTTCAATCGATCCCTTTCCGAAACAATTCTTCCTATTATGCGAATGATGATGAATTCTGCGACAGGGACATCCACGTGCTATTCAGCACGCATTCCTTACAGAAATTTAATCACTAGAAGATATAGTGATTAATTACTTATTTTGAGTATTAAAATCTCTATTGTTCAATGTTTTAATACTTAAAATAAGCAATTTTTAGTATTAAATTGGATTTCTGTAAGAAATGTCCAAAGTCAGGAATAAGACATGCCTTAATTTTTCGACAATTTTCAGAAGTTTTACATGCCGATTTTGGACATGCTGTTTGATAACAATAACGATCTGATAATCGTGTTGCGATATACACTGTCAGTACTAAAAATTTATAGTACATGTTACATATATTAGATTTTCAATATAAGTATAGTGTATATCGGAATACGATCTATATCATAAGAAACAAGAGATTTATTTATCAACGAAGAAAATCGAATATTCACATGCTTCGTGGAAATGTCCTCTGCGACGAAGTGACTATAGGCAAATGACCTAGGCTAACCGTCAATAGTAATTAATTATCATTACTTATATAT